CAGTATGGACCGTGAGCTTCTTGAGCTCAAGTCCAGAATTGCGCAACAGGAAGATGTTTCTGCCGCCGCGGTTGGTAAGATGCGCCGTGCAGACGCCCTGGCAACTGAAATGCAAAAGGAGGTCACTGCTGAGCGGGAGGCCAACGCCCAGCTCTTCAAGGACAAGGCAGCAGTTGAGAAGCAGCTGAAGGAGGCTCAACTTCGGTGTGTTGATCTCGAAACCAAGAGCTATTCCTCTGGTAGCCAGGACGTTCGCTTCTTGCATAAGCGAATCAAGGAGGTAAGTTAAACTAGCTCTATGCTCTATGCTCTATCTTTGTCAGTTTTGTACTAACCTGGCCGTTTAGCTTGAAACCCACCTGGAAGACCAGGAGAGCAAGCACAGCTCCGAGCAGCGCTCGCTTCGCAATGTTGATCGCACTGTTAAGGACCTCCAATCCCAGATCGATAGGCGAGACAAGATGAATACCCAGCTGAATGACGATGTAAACAGAGCTCGGGATAAGATTGAACGGCTCCTTCGCAACATCGAGGAGCTCCAGCATAACGACTCGGACGCCCAGCTGCTGGCCCGCCGCGCCGAGCGCGATCTCCGCGAAGAGCGTGAGAAAGCACTGCGTCTGGAACGCGAGCTGGAGGGCTGGAAGGCCCTGCGCGTTGAGCGAGGCAGTACTATTGGGCGTGGTCCCGTAGCTTTCAGTGACGCTGGAAGCCGTCGAGGGAGTGCTGTCTATGGATCTAATGACATTCCCCAACGGCACCCCAGCAACACCAAGGGCTTTTTGTGAATAGGGCTTGAATTATCTTTAGCAGGCTGATCCTGCCCGGAGTTGTAACATTGGTTATGGATGGATGTTTTTTGTTAATGAGGTTTATTTGCATTCGGGAAAGGGATGTTCCAGTGCTTTCTGCTGGCCTTGGGCTTGTTCATATTGTTTGAAAGGCCAAGCATTTGTCCCTTGGTCTGTATTTTCCGGTGTTCATTTTTGTCTCACGTTTGTGTTTATGAGTAAATATGCTCTACGGGTGGACTAGGCTATCTACAATAACGAGAATGTAACAATTCATCAAACCCTCCATTTTATTTGTCTTTAGTTCTCTTCTTCGGGTAATTTGGTATTTCTTGTCCCAACTATAGGCAGTGCATCTTTTGGGAGAGACCACCAACCGGTTCTTTTCCTATTTTGGAGCCTTTAATAACATATATCGGATTTTTCTTAGCGAAACTATCGATTTCCGTCAAATCTACCTAGGACCATCCAAAGTGAGTTGACATTGCCTGTATTCTTTAAAGCAATACAATTCAAGGTTATATAAATTCCCCACATTCTGACCTACAACGTGGACAGGCGAACCAAGTAGAAAACCCTAACTAGTTAACTAGTTGTTTCTTATGACGTAACCTGTTGGTTGTGAATAAAACATAGTACAGGCGGAAGACTATGGGAATATCTGTATTTTATTTTTGGGGGAGATTTAAGAAAACAAACATATGCTCTAAAGCGTCATCAAATCAAATATATGTGACTGTTCAATGGTGGATTGAACATTGAAGACATATGGAAAAAAAGGCACGTGATATCCGCGCGGCTAGGCGGCAATTAGCGCGCAACTTCACTTCAAGCTGTCAAGCTCATGATTTCCTCTCCGGATTTCTTCCCTGCCAACGCCCACGATACCCGACTTCTTCGGGTCGCTGACTTGGTCAATTCTTCAAAATGGTGAGCCTCACCCTTCTCGACTTAAACCCACGAGGAAATCTCTATATCCGAGTCGAGTCACATTTTGCTAACCCAAATCCCCGCTATGTAACAGGCACGCAACAGTGAAAAAGCGCAGTCGATGCTGTTCCGCTTCCGAGCGCAGCAAGCAGCCGACCTCGGAATCATTGATATCTCCCGCACACGGCGCCCCAAGGCCATCACATCCATCGACACGGTGCCAGTATGCGAGCGCTGGCGCGGACAAGTCCTCCAAGAAATTTCGCGCAAAGTATCACGCATCCACGTGCAAAGCCTGAGCGATTACCAGATCCGTGACCTCAACGATGAGATCAACAAGCTCATGCGCGAGAAATGGGCGTGGGAAATGCAGATTCGCAACCTGGGCGGTCCGAACTACATGCGTGGATCGAACCGAATTTACGACGATGAAGGGCGCGAGATCCCCGGCGGGGGCAAAGGCTATAAATATTACGGTCGTGCCCGGGACCTACCTGGTGTCAAAGAAATGATCGATGCTGCAATTACTCGCGCGAAGGGACCGGCGGAGGAAGAGGTTGTATCTGGCCGCGGTGGAGATATTGCGACGAGGAAGGTTGATGCCAACTACTTCGGTTACGGTCTTGATGAAGAAGACGGCACGTTATTGGCATATGAGAAGCAGAAAGAGAAGGAGTCTGTTGAACACCTGCGCCATCAAGGAGAGGATGATGCTGAAGATGGCTGGCAATCTCTACCTGGTGATGCAGGCGACGGGGTGGAATGGAGACTCCCGACGCTGGATGAAGTCCAGGAAGAGCTTGTGGATAGGCGGCGCCGCCGCCTTCTGGACAAGATCTCTTGATTTAGACATTGCGTCCCAGATTCCTTGCTTCCATTTCTGTCCTTTGCTTGGGTTGGGCGTTACAGGTGCTTCTGCAAAATCTTCACATTTCAAGCATCATCCTCTGTTTGTTCGTAATGACATCACTTGATTATTATTTCCAAAATATCCACCAATATTCCCAAGGCAGATTCATTATATAACTATACAGTATGTTACAGATCGCTAGTTGCATCCGGTTTGTTCTTTCGGGTCGTCCTTTCCACCCTCAAGGCTTGCGTCATGCTCATGCGTGATGTTTGCGTAGGATCTTCCCGTCGTTGTTGCTCTGCTTCTAGGTCGTCCACCAAAAATCGACCAAGCTCTCCTTGCCTCCACTTCTGTATAAAAAGCAATGCGGCTCCATCCATCATTGGAACTCCGCCTTTTGCAAGCAGACCAGTTTGGCGCGCAAAACTTTCAATTAACGGAACCACATCATTCGTCGGTTCCGACCAGCGCTTGTACACTGTCGGATCATTCAAGTTTATATGGTACAACAAATAGTCCGCGAGAGTGATGGCTGAAATGACATTGTCCTTCACACAGCCGCAGAGAGCCAGCTTGAGCATATTCTCCGCCTCCGGGACATACGGCATGAACACTCCCGGCGTGTCCAAAACGTAGACATGTGACCCGTTTTCGCGGTCAATGATTTTCACCTGCGTGGCTATCTTCCGTGTAATACCGGGCTGCTGTCCGGTTTTCAAAGCCTTGGCTTTGCCCGTGCCTGAGTTGCGTAGGTTGTTGATCAGTGTTGACTTGCCAACATTGGGCATCCCGACAACTAACACTCGACAGCCTACTAACTTATCGGGGGCTTCGGCATCGGTTCGAAGGTGTTTGATGATCTGGCTGACATCTGGGCGCGAGGATGAGCTGGTGAAGAACACGGCGCTCTTTGGATCAAAACTTTGCAATTTGCGTTCTGTCTGCGGCTATGTTAGCTGATATCCAACAAAGGCCTACAATCTGACTCCATGGTAGAGAGAAATACTTACTATTTTCTGAGCAGATGATTTGGAAATGCTTCCCAGATCTCTTTTAGTGTAGACGACCAGTCGGCGCATCTTGCCCAAAGCTTCCTCGAACATTGGGTTAATCGAGGTCACGGGGGCTCGGTAGTCACGACACTCGACAACATAGTCGATAGTGGAGAGCATGCTCTTCATCTTTGTCAGACCAGCCCTGTGGTGTCCTAAGAAATAGGACCTTGGGATGGCCCCGTAATGGGGGAATGCATTGCGCGGAATGAACTGGGCCATGGAAGATCGTTGAAGGGAGAGTGTTGTTCAGTCCGGTGAAATACGATTCATTTTTCAATCGGAGCAGTGGACGATCGGTCTGGAGGGACTGGATGATCGAAGAAATAAAATAACTGGTCCGCGGAAGGCAACAAAAAAAAAAAACCGTCAAAATGTCCAAGGCGGAAGCGCGGGCGGTGAACATTACGTCGACGTGAATTGCTACAAACGTACAATATTTATCGTATTTATCCATGGATGACAGCTAGGGCTTTATAAGCCTCTTCATACAGATATATTGTGCCTTCATAAGGCAAGGAGCCTGCTTAGTGCCCACCCCATGGCACCTGAGATAGCATCAATCTCTTCAGGGCGTACAGAAACCCTAAGTTAGCAGCTATAAATGTACTCTTGACAAGATTGGCAAGAAAATGACTTCATTTGGGTTGTTCTCTTTTAGAATATTATAGGAAACCCTTCCTCCACGCGTTAGGTTCATCTTGGGCTTAACAACATCCACTCAGAAATCTCTCTAAATGCTCCACTAAGTGGACACTTTTTGGGACTTCCTTTTATGGACTTTTGTGTGCTATTGACTAAGTTGGCAGCCTCAACTCAGTTTTTGTTAGATGACTTTTGTCTGTTCTATACGGGTTATGGAAATTAAACAAAATCTTATAGATATCCATTAATATTACCCAAGCATTGTCTGTTGTACATTATCCCATACATCCATCCCATATCCCATATCCCATATCCCATATCCCATGTCCCATAATCCTATACCCCATACATCCCATAATCCCACCCCATCACAATGCTGTTTTCATAAACCTTCCCAACCATAGGCGCCAGTAAATAGAAACTGTGGTTCGATATCAACCATCCTAGTAGAATGGTCTCAAAACCTCAAGCTTGCACCCCATGGATTCTGAGCATGTGGTCCTTCAGGGTGGTCTTTCGTTTCAAGGGCTTTGTACAAATTGTGCAAAGGAATGGACTCGGGTGACCATGGGTTTCCTTAAGATGGCGAGTCAGCGATCCTTTGACCGTGAAGGTAGATGTGCAGCCGGGCGAAGTACATCGGATAGCGGTGTCTGGATTACTAAAATAGTTGGATATTCTTAGTAACTAGTGACTCTTTGCCTCGGACGAGACTGCGAGGTTGATAACTCACTCTTGTTCACGTAGCTGATGATGGACATCCGAGTTTTCGTCGCTGTTGACGCCATTGTCTATGACTCCGGGCTCAAGAGGCTCCTGCCAATTTGGTTCCTGTGTGAAGGGAGCCACAAGAGGGGTGGTGTTCGTGGTATAGTTCGCAGGTCCGAAAGATGCCGTGGGTACCGCCTGAGCGTCGTTGTTGCCGTTGTTGACAACAAGATACTGTGCATTGTTTCTATTCACATAATGCGGCTGGTAACACACCCACAGAGAAGAATCCCACGTGGGGACATCACCAGGACGAACAAGCGCTGGTTGGGGAGAAATGGAACCGGGAGTGTTCTCTTCCTGCTGGGGGACAAGTTCAAACGTATACGGGTCCATATTATGTGGTTACCACGGTATGTTTAACTCTCAATCGAAGGATAGAGGGAAGTAAACACGAAGGAAAGAAAGGAATATAGGTTAGATTTCTGTAACATCATGGGGAAGAGAAATACCTGGGTATTTATTTCAGTTGAGGTGGTTCAGGCTTTCACCCAAATATCAACCAAAAAAAAAAAAGAGGTGGAAAAAAAAAAGATCGACATGTGGCACTTGTACATATTGGAAGAGGTGTTGTCCACGGCCAGTCTATTAGGCGCACGAATAATTTGGGAGCCGCAAGTGTGCGCCGTTGCTAAGGGCAGGGACAGGCATGGGTGGAGACTAGCTCTCTCAATTTCATTTTCTTCTCCTTTTTGCCATTTTCTTCATAATCATTTATTTCGATTTTTTTTTTTTTTTTTTTTTTTTTTTTTCCCAAGTCTAGCTCACAGGGTGGCTGTTGGGGGCCATGAGAACGTGCGAATCCAGTTCATTTTCTCGTGAAATCTGAGAAAACGGGCTAGTGGATAAACCTAACATCTTCATATACATGTGGTACAACGAGTCAGGGATACGAAATATTATTCTGGAGGTTGTAAGGACTACATAGATAGACTCTACACCTGATAACTCTCTACTACTACCCATCAAATATTTTGTATAGAACTATCACCACAACGCGGGCGTACTGTACATAGACAGCGCAAAGAAAAGGAATCGGAGTTAGGAACGGGGATAGATTCCTTGGACTTTGATAATTTTCTATAAAAAATATATATACCTTCGTGTGCATTTCCCTTTTGGATTGTTCCTGCTTTTTTCTTGCATATTTGGACCCAACTAGCGAAGGCTATTAAAAATACATACTATCCTCAACAAGATAAATATTACAGGAAAGAAATCAAAGGCATTATTCCTAGATGGGATATCCGCTTAACAAAGGTCAATAGGTCAGTCACCCTTCCGTTTATATCCCGATGCTTCAGCGAGACGGGGGATCTACCATCCGGGGAATTTCAGCCGCCAATGACCCGCCAAAGCCCGGCGGTGTGCAAAAGGAGGGTTTCAGATGTAAAACCCTAGATATACAATGGCAATCATAATATAACTACACATAAGTTTCGACGCAGGTACCCGGTTGACACGTTGGTTGGGATTCGGGCCATAAGGCCTAGGCGGTTCTCGACTCTATGGCAACTCTACATGTAATGTATAGAGTAGGTGAAAATTGGGTAAATCACCAGACAATTTCCACATCTGAGGCTACTTCCAATCTTGGAATACTTGGATTTTATGTTTGTGTTAGTAAGATACCCTCCGCAGTACTTTCTTTAGGGCTTTCTCTTCACACTAAACTATGACTTACAATATATGCACCCCAATTGGAGCAAATTTTCAATCGAACTGCTTTTGAGCTACTATAATAACTGTAATTCAGTTGATATCTCGATTTCGTCCTATCGGATCTATTTAGAAATTTAACCTGACGCGTCAGGGTTCTGAGGGATTGCTCATGCCGGATGTCATTTTCAAGCGAATGAAAACTCGGGGGTCCTAGCGATCCATCTATGGACTCGGACCTCCTTGTTGTCTCGCCAACTGTATTCCTTGGTTTTCCCTTCTTTTTCCCCCTCTTCTTTTGATCCACCGTGTCTCCCAATGTGTTATCCACTCCTAGAGTGATCAATTTAGGTATATTCTGTACTGGATTCTTGTATAAAAGGTACTTCTAGTAGGTCTACAAGGTCTGGCCTATAATATTCAGAGATCTGTCCAACCTTGTATTTTTCCCCCGCCCGAATCAGAATCAAGGAACTCCACCACCCCCTGTCCCTATAAGATCCTTGTTGCCTCGCGGTTGCCTCGCTGTACTTTCACTAGACCACGATAGCATCAGGCCATGTACATACCGTGCTAAAGGGCTTTTATAGAAGTACATACGATACAACATATAACAAGTTCTCCATTTGGACAAGACGAGGTGTCACACAACCTCCAATCGTGGGGTAGGGCTTAGCCAGTTTAAGGTAGATCTTTTAATGTGACGTGCATCATCCGTACATCTTCATATGTATCACATATATCCCAAGAACCCCCCCCAAAGAACTCATATATCCAAACATCCAAACATCCAAATATCCCATGCTCCTGCTGGAAACAATAATTCCCAGCCCTATCGCCGCGCCGTTTCCGTAGACAAACCCAATTATAGCACCCGCTCATGTAAACCTAGATTCTATCGCTAACATAGACCTCAATGCTCCAAATTCCAAATTCCAAATCCATATTCATTGAGCTCAAGCCCGTATCCCGTGGGCCTTCAGCTGGTGGTCGGCCATATGAGACTTTCTGGAATAGACATTTTCACATAATAGGCAAGGGAACGAGCGCGGGGAAGTATGCTGCTCATCGCGATGGCGCTTCAATGATCCCTTCTTCGTGAAGGTGCCACGGTACGAGCAGTCCGGCCAGTCACATCGAATGACGTTGTCTGGGTTACTGGAATAGTTGAATATTTGTCAGTAAACCGCTCATTCTCTTTCACGTTAGGCTGGGGATGGGTGGCTCACGCTTGTTCATGTCCGTGGTTAGGACTACGGGGCGCTTTGCTGTTGGCAAAACCATTGCTTATGGCTCCAGGAGCAAAATACTGCGCGTTGTTCTGGTTTTGTTCGGGACATGGCAACGGAGGAGCCACAAGAAGGGCGGTACGATTGAAATGATCCGCAGAGTCGTGAAAAGGTATAGCTACGGCCCGAGGGTCATTGCCGCTGACAGTATGATACTGTATGTTCTGATTCGGGCGGCGATGGGTGGGCAGGGCTGTAGGCGCGACATGTCCACCAGGCGGCGTCAACGATTCCTCATACGGATTGTATCTAGGTTGGTATGCAGGAGCCATAGATGTATCTGTCACAACGGGTGGCCGGTGAGCATGGAACGTTTGGGGATAAATGGAACCCAAAGTAGTCAAATCGAACTGGAAGAGATGATTCAGGGTCGGATCATCCAGGTTGAGGTCGTCTAGCGACCGCGGCATGATTAACTATCAACGGCAGGAGAGACAAAAGTAAAGATAGAAGTAAAAATGGGCAAGGGGAAGAATTTTGATTAAAGCAGCGTGGATTGGGTTTGAGTATTTTCATGCTGGAGAATAGGAGGGGGAAGTTGGAATATTTATGTGCAGCCCGAGTTCTATTCGAATATGAAGAGAAAAAGTGAAGAAGGTGCCAGGATGGATCCGCACAGGGCACGGGTGTATGTAGATAAGTCACCAAGGTGATTGTGACAGACTCTGTAATTTCATCACAAGAACGGGTTAACGGTGTTGGCAAAATCTGAACAGTGGGTATTATTACTCCAGTAATGGGTTCTCGATTGTCATAGATCAGGATCGGCCCTGAGCATTGCTCTCTTGATGATCGCCGGTACCCAGACTGTCGGGTAGCGTACTCCGTAGATTTATGTGCAGTTTGCTGAAAAGGGAATTAGGAAAATAAGAAAAGTACGGAAAATACGGAAAATACGGAAAATACGGGAAATCAAAATAGCCAATGGGGAGGACAAACTCCCGGTGGAAAATTGATGTAACAGGTTGTAATACCGAAGAAAGTCCAAACCATTACTGCCATTACTGCCATTACTGCCATTAATGCCATTAATGCCATTAGTACAGCCAAAACACACAGCCTCGGACCCTGACCCGCCAAAAAGCAATTGATGGAGTGGAATCCGGGACTAAGGTGCCCCGGTTTATTTTATTTTATTTTATTTTATTTTATTTTATTTTATTTTATTTTATTTTATTTTATTTTATTTTATTTTATTTTATTTTATTTTAATGTACTTTTCTCATTTTTGCTTTGAATTGCGTATACGGGCTCCACCAAACCAACCTGTCCAATGGAGGCCACTCTAGGTTCAAATGAAGACTCCCCAAAAAATAAAGACAATGTGGTTGGGTGCAAGAACATAGTGGATTTTAGATGTGGATTTTGATCTACAATTTCTGGGACTTGGTGAATTCTCTTAGATCTTCTTCTAGTCAGGTATTGATTCAGTGTATGTTGTATTTAACCGGAGGCGAAAACAACAACAACCATCGGACGTAATATGTATCTACCAGATGTAGCCCTGGAGAGATGAGGTGGAAGGAAAGGAGCTCTTTCCGACGGCTACCCGTGAAGAATGTCCAATATGTGCACCCTAAGGGGACTTTTGCCTCCTTCCCCAGAAGGAGTCACGGGAGATCGGCGGGGCCCCAATGTAAGAAAAGAATAGTAGTACAAGGGCATATAATCCCTCGAGACGACTCGGTAATCACCCGCATCATATAAAGGGGATTACTGCGGATTGTGGCGAATGTGTGGCTGAGTATTTATCCTTTGCGCTATATCCTTGGAAGAAGGAATTTGGATGTCCTCGGTATATTCGGTGTGTCTGGGCCTTGTCTTGGTAAATTACACCACGAGCTGTATGTACCTGCATACTTTAACAGCAATATGTTCCCTCCCTATCAACTTGAAAGTTGTCTCTCCATCTCTATAGCATCGTACTGCAAATTCGGGTAGAAGGGTTCTCAGATAGGTGTGGTGTGGACTAGGCAGAAGCATTTACCAACTGCTAAGTAGTGGAGAAGGGGGTGGAAGAGTTTCATACCTTAGTTGTCACTACAACATACGGAGTACGGAGTACTGAACTACACAGACACACCCATGCATACAATTCCAAGGTTTAGGCCACCCATGGGCTAGGTTCGGTTCGTGTTGTGGAGCAGAGGCAGGGATGGGATGGGATGGGATGGGCTGGGCTGGCTGGGTTATCATAGCCTGTCATATTGTTGGCCTTGCGTCTCAGACTCCATCCAAGGATTGTTGCTTGTCTGTACAGTATACCGTCCAATCCAGCTTCGACAGCTTTTGTAGACAACAAGCTTGCACCAATCCAACAAGCCCCTACAACCGTAAAAAGAATAGCACGAACTGACCAAGCCTGTGCCCTGTAAATAGTAAATGGCTAAAATACTAAATAAATAATAGATCATTGAACCATTCAACCATTTTCATTTAAATTATTAAATCTCTAACTCAAGGTTCTGCACTAAAGAGCTAGGAACTAAATCCCCGAGCGTCCTTGTGGACGAGTGGAGAAAAAAAAAAAGGGAAAAACCAGATACAGGAACGAGAAACGGATCTTCCAACATCGTATTTTTGAATTTTTCTATTATCGCATTACTAGGCTCCATCGGGTATAATACGTAATTCGATACAATAATGAAGTAAGAAATTCACACGGGTAATTAAGGCATGTTATGACGTATGACGCCTGGGTAAATAATCTCCTAGCCAACCTATCCAAACACCCTTAATCGATTTCGGTTATTAATTTTGACAGAAAACTGGCCTTTTTCGCGGTCTCACAAATTTAACTTTATTCCCCGTGGTCTTTGTCTGATGATTCTCTACGCCACCATCGAGAGGAGCAAAAAGAGGATTGTATATCTTCACGAAGTTCACGATCCTAGGATCCACCGTAGGGGGTGGAGATGCGCTAAACAGAAGGAGACGGCTCCACTGTCTTGACTACAGTAGAAACAGAAACTCGTTAGCAGGGTGCAAATGCCTGGTCTCTTTCTAAAGCATGGTGCTTCTATTGGTACATCAGGGATGTGAGTAAAATATGCTAAAAATATCTGCTATACCTTTAGGCATCCCGTGGACGTCTTATGAAGGCTAGAATAAGCATAGGAACCATCCATGGATCCAACCTTGAGTTAAACCTTAATTAAACAGACCGTTCCACCAACTTTAAGGCCTTATATCAACTCCCGAGCTTTAAAATAAAAATTCCAGTTGTCGACTAGACGAACCACGCTAAGCCCAAAAGTTCGCAGCTATTATTTCGAGGTCTAAATTTTCAAGTATGGTTTTTAGAATATACTATTCATCTATATACACCCGGCGGAATCCCTAAAGTGATGGAGGTTCACAAAAACGTGAGTTTGGATTAACGGGGGTTGACTGCGATATACGGTGAAGCCTGCGGGTGCCGTGACAGCCGCCGAGCTCGCCAGCGAAGGGATCTCCCGGTCTGCAGGGCTCGGCAATGGTACCTGGACATGCACACGTTATGTGTGACTTACGAGCCAGCGTATTACCAATTGCTCCCACAATTGAAATGTGAGAGGATGGAAAAGAATCATTATTATACCCACTAACTATATCCACTGTGTGTCGTTAATCTTGCAAGACATCAAACGCACTTCGAGTTCACCACACATGGTCGTCCTGGCCAACAAAAGCAGTAGAAAAGTCCCCTCACCCGTGTTAACTTGCCATAGACCGGTATGTTATAGAGTGGAGGACATGCTAGAAAATTATATCTGCCCTAGACGTCAATCACCCTGTTGTTCACTGGAGGCTTGGCCTGGTTAGATCTAGACTATGCAGTAAATAAGAGCCTGCTTGGGTGGGCACCTGTGTGGGCATTGCCCCGAAGCTTCAAGAAATCATTGCTATGTAGACAAAATTATATAGGATGGGTGGGTATCCTGATTTTTATAAACCCATCACATTGCGCCGAGCTTCATGAAACAGAAGCGAAATTCCCATCCCGTAGCATCGTTTCTAAAACGCCTGAATGTCTGCGGCGGAACCAAAAAATGTTAAAAAATAAAGTGTATGCAAGATCAGCATAGAAATTACCTTGGAGCTTGAAATACACATATCAGAAAGCACGAAATCTCAAAATGAAGAGACCTTATGCCCGCCAGCCCTGCACGAAATCATGCAAGCGATCAATCACAACACCGAAGATAGCATTGACACTGTCTGCGATGAGTTGCTCAAAGTGACGGATGGCTTCTTCTTCGGTCATTTCAAGATGGAAGCGCTCCTTCACTTTCAAGACGGCTTTGTCAGGCTCCACCCGAATATCAGGAATATTAGCATCCACCATCAAACTGAAGAGGTTAAGAATCAGATTCGCGGATTTGCGCAGCGTGGTGTAAGCAGTGTAGCAGTATTGCTTGAATTGCAGATAGTGGGGCGAAGTTGTGCCGCCCATGCCTTCGACCATTTCCTTGCAAAGTTTCATCATGGGTGCAAAAGGCTTCGGATCACGACCGAGAATGAAACCGAAGTCGGCGTGGAAGAAGTGGCCATCTGGTGCTAGAAGCAGATTTTCAAGATGCCGGTCGCCAACGCCGAGGAGGTACGTGATGACGCAATACCCTGCACATGATTTGATGTACGTATCCATTGTTTCTTTGCGGACGCCGAGAGGCTCATTGTCATCTGGGTTGTTGGCTTGTAGATAAGCGAGGATGGACTTGTACTTGGCTGACGCCGCGGAGAGAGAAATTGAAGGGATGAATTGCACAGCGCCGGCGGTTGCGCTGGTGGCAAGAATTCGATAAGGAGTCAGTTTTAGATCAAGGTTTTCCTTCTGCAAAAGGCGATCCATCAAGATGATGATCTGGATAACCAATTGATCTTGGCGAAGATCATCACCGACTTTAAACAGCATCGGATAGCGACGACCCTCAGAAGTCTTGAATGTGATAAGCAAGGGGGAAAGAGTTGACTTGAAGACGTTCGATTCCTCGGGGTATAGTCCAACGACTGAAACATCAGGATTTAAAGGCAAGGGCAGCGGTGGATCTATGTTTATCAGGTCGTTATCAGGGTCACGGAGATACTTTTTCAGCATCTCAATCTTGCCAACCCTGTTTTCGCGCGCGAAGCGTACGTCCTTGGCTATTTTGGAGAGCACGGCGACCATTTCACCTTGGTGCAATAATGTCTTTCTATGCTCGGGATGAAGCTTCTCCAGTTCAATCATGAAGTAGTATTCAACCCGCGCAAATAGCCGTCGCTGAATTGCATCGGCATCATCGAACTCGACCATGAGATACCAGTGTAGGTAGTTGCCAAGTTTGAAGTTATTAGCCGCACGTGAAATCAAGAAATGTGCAAGCGAGGACTCCTGCGGAGCCGCATCTGGTTGGTTATCCGGAGTTGCATCATATTTCAGAGCCTGCACCAATTGAAGAAGATATAGAAGCAACTCCTCGTCGTCTGCCTTTCGCAGTGTTTCCACCGCATATGAACGGACAGCAGGATTATCAAAGGTAGGACCCAGAATCTCCAGAGCATCATCGACGTCAATCTCAGTCCATTTAGGGAACATTTCAACAGCTTGCCGCGATTCTCCGACATCCCGCCAGTTGACTGATTTGACGAATTTTGTCAATGCCTTCTTCTCCCGTGTGAGATGATACCTGAAACGCCACACAAGATCCTTCTCTTCGGCGGTGAGGTCTTGCGTCGGCTCGTAGGAAATAATCATATTGAGATCATCTCTGATCTTCGGGTTGGGCTTCAGGTCACGATCCATGATGCCGGTTCGATGGCTTCGGATCAAACGCCGGTGCTTGTCCTCACATGGGTTTCCAATTTGGCCAACCTCTGGATCGTAGATTTGAATGATATTATGGGGATCGGCGTGTGAAATTCCAGGGCCAAATTGTACCTCAGGAACTGGCTTAAGAGTAGCATTGGGGTGGGGTGGTGCATTTTGAGACCAAGAGGAAATGGGCGGAGGAGGATACTCGTGATCGGCCCATACAATGGGATGATCAAATCGTGGAAATTCAACATAAAGGTTGAAATACTCATCTTCGAGGTTCTCTTCATCAGAGCTATCGTCCTGATTTTTGCCGTGTTTCGGATCTTTTTGCAGGGCTGCGTCAAGTTCAAGGGCGCGCTTTTGAGCCGCTTCATCTGCATTTGTCTTCAGTTTCTCTAATTCGCGAAAGAGCAATTGATCCATCCAGTCAACACGTGGGATCTCGCCCATTTCGTGCTTCTTGATCAAGACTTCGACCCGTTCCAGTTCCGCCTCTTCGGGTGACTGCTGTGAAGGATCCCGGGTATTCGGTTTACGACGCTTAGGTGGTAAAACAGATGGAGTAGAGGTTGTAGCAGAGCCGTCAGCGTCCTTATGTAAATAAACCCTGCACTTTTGTCTGCCCATCTTCAATTTTCCGTCTTCGTCAAACAAGGTGATTGTAGTTCCACCAAATGGGATGTGCGTAATCCTATCGGGGGCGAGTGGAGACATATCAACGATGGTGATTGCCAGCTGAGCATTACGCTCGGCATCTTTGATGGACATTGGCATCTCCAGCCATTCATTCCATGCTCGAGTGGTTTTGAAAGCCTTGTATTTGGTCTTCATCGGCACGCCCAATGGCTTCGACTCCGACCATATCTGAGCGGTCACATAGAGATCGGAGGCGGGGTCTTGGACAGAGCCAATATGCCGTAGCTCGGCGTTTTCATCAAGCACCGTGCATGGAATCGGCTTTTGCTTCCCCTCTAACGAGCCACTGTGGATGCATCAATTAGAGAAAAACCTCGGTTGCCAGAAGTGGAGAACGTACATCTTGATCCGTATAGGTATGTCCACTTGAGTGGTCACGGCAAAGGTGAAGGCTTCCATCTCTGTTCCCCGTCTAGAGAGAGCAACAGGTCGCTGCGTCATGGCCGATAAGCAACTGACGCGGGGAGGTCACGTGCAAGATCCACGCGACGCGCGACAAAGCGTTCGCGATCATTGAATGTAGCCACACTTTTTTTTCAAGGACCGGTGTATTTCGAGGTAAACTCTTTGTCTAAATTTAGCTGCTGTGTGTAGTCGCACGCGACTTGTTGTTCCTTTTTTCTTTGTTGAATTTTCTTTGTTACAACCTGCATCTCATATCGCGCTAAGTGTTGGTCGAGGATGGCACGTCTCATTCGCACGCACCTGGACGAAGCAAACACCCCAGGTCCTCGAGCAGCACCATCTACATTATCGCCAGACGCATTTTCTTCTGATAAAGAAAACCACATCAATAAGAGAAGCACCGCTGTGATGGCACCGCCTTCACAGAGGAAACGACAGCGACTAGCTGACCGCCCCTTGAATGCTCAGCCTGTCCAATCCGCCCAATCTTCTCGGTCTGCTCAGTCCGCTCGAACTGCGCAGTCGCAAGCATCATCTCAACGAACTGGCAGCGACACACGATACTATGACCCTGACCAGGATCCCGAAGAACGGAGAAGTGTACGGAGAGGACTTCGAGATCTGGGTAGGGAACTGAATGGTAGGTTGCTTTGTCTGGACTTGAGGCTCGTATGATAGTGCTCTAACAGCTTTCACAAAGACACACGCGGCGAGCTCATGCAGCCTGGAAATGATGGTATCCTCAACATTGTCGAACAAGCAAATCAATTCTACGCCAAAGTGAAGCAGACCGCCGATGCCACCCTCGATTCGCGCATCCTAGTCAACACCGCCGACCTAACGCACAAGAAAGCCACCCAGCTCGCCCTCGGTGACACCTCTGCCGGTATTGATGTAGATGAGTTTGTCTCCAAGTGTGTATCGTTCATGCGTCGCGGTCCGAATAATGCGACGGCTTCGGCAAATGGGACACAGGGACGCCGAGCGCGCCCCGGTAGAAGCCAAAGAGATCCCGATGCCAGTGACGAAGATGACGGCGATGCGATGAACTGGGATACGCTTGGCCGATCGGCCTGCTTCCCTAACAATGCTCGTCCGGCTGTGTCTGGATGGTTGCTGGGACCGCTATCAGTACAGAAGCGTACGCGGCAACTGACACAGCGAAGAGCAGTGGAGCGTATCGATCCGACGCAAGCTGTGGCGCCCCGAGAAATGGCGCAGGACGAGCTTGGCCAACAGGACAGCACGAATCTGACCCAGATCTGTTCCGAGATCAATAAACTGCTTGCCAATAACCAGAGTAAGCGTCAAGAAGCTGCCGAGCGTGAGCTTAGTAGCCAAACAAATCTTACACCGGAGAAGGCGCAACAGATCATGGATAAGTACAGCGTGGCGGACGACGGGGGAATTCCCTTGTTTCGTTTCTGTATCAATCCGAAATCTTTCGGGCAAAGCGTGGAAAATCTGTTCTACGTGAGTTTCCTCGTGCGAGACGGTACAGTGGGTGTATCAACAGATAGTCGCGACTTGCCGACGCTGCGTGAGTATTCTTCAACATGACTGGTTGATAAAGCACTAATATATTGACAGATGCGGCCGCGCCATTCGCCCCTAGTGAAGCGCAAAAAAAGGGCGTGCAGAAACATCAGGCGGTCTTTAGCCTTGACCACGATACGTGGCACGAAATTATCGACGTGTTCAAAATTAAGGACTCGATCATCCCCCACCGCGAAGAGAAGGAGCAAGAGACTGGCACAAGTTGGTATGCCTAAGCTTCTTTCGAAGACACGATTCCACGAGTCAATATGTGTTTTGCAAGATACCCCTTGATCTTTTGGCTTGCATTACTAGGTCAGTTTAATATTTTAGCTTTTTACTACCAGCTGTATTCTATGATATTTAGCACATAATCCACCTGGTCAGAGTATAAGGCTTATAATACACAAAGTCGAAAAATTCTATAAATTCTATAACAATAAGCTAGTTGGATAACTAGCCTCTTTTAATGCACATAAGCCATGTAGTTATGTACAAAATACAAAAGTAGTTGCCGAGGTCTCCCCAGGCGATGATAAATCCATCCGACCAGGCTCGATCCAAAGTGGAGAGTGGCTGATAAGCCTGTACGTCATTCCAAGCTTGTCTGGCCACTTTCTCCCTTCTTCTCCAACGACCTTTATAAACCTCCTATCTTACTATTTTATAATTCAGCTTTTCTTCTCTCTACCCTTGCGAACTTCACATTATACCTACCTATACCTGTAAGACACACCAACTGAGACATACAACGCCAGGGAGCGCAACTCTCAAACTCTAAGCACAAACAAAGCCAAAGAAAAAGGAAAGGCGTCGAAATGTCACAGCTCTTTCCAACCAACCCTTCTGCGACCATGGTAATCCGCCATGTGACGCCAGACATTGTGACTATGAGTCTGCCATTCGCACGGTTTGGACATCTGCAGTTCGGCGGTCGAGGGACGCTGGGTTAGTGCCAACCCTTACAGAGCCAACCTTACCAGGCGCACAATGCCTCGGGGAACAGGAAATGATGTGCAGCCATGTCAAGCCCACGGGGGCCCCTTGTTTAAGATATTGTGCTAACACTCCTTGCATGCGACAGTCAAGCTTGCTACTGGATCCCTCGCAGTATTCTCACCCGTCGGCCTAACATCTGAAGTCCGCGAGACAGTCGAATCCCTCGGTGGCAACGTCAAATACATCACGGCGCCAGATATCGAACACCACCTCAACATCACCCCGTGGAAGAACGCATACCCACAAGCAGTGATCCTGGCGCCGGAAGGTCTGTATGAGAAGCGACAATCGAACCCGGAGTTCCAGGACACCCCGTTCGAGCATGTATTCAAGAAGGACGATCAACTGCCGCGGTCGATCTCGAAGGAGTTCGATGCTGAGTTTGAAAGCGAGTATGTGTATGGCCACGGGTCGCGCGAGCTGGTGTTTCTGCATAAGCCCACGGGTACGGTTATTGAGGCGGATCTGCTCTTCAACCTACCCTCTAAGGAGCAGTATTCCAAGACCCCCGAAGCGGGGACTAATTTCCTTACGAGGCTTATCATGCCGCTATTGTCCACCAAGCCACCAGCTACATGGCACAGACGGTTTGCATGGTATATTCTCTCCAAACAAGATCGGGCGGCGTTCAATGAATCCATGAGAAGGATTGATCAATGGGACTTTGATCGTTTGATTCCTTGCCATGGCGATACCATCGAGACTGGTTCCAAGGGGATATTCCGCGATGTGATGGCATGGCACTTGGATCGGAAGAATACGTAGTCTTCTTGTCTTGTCGAAACCATTGTAATATTTTGATTACTTTTATTTAGGCTTTCGGTGTTGCGGAGGGGGTCATTCTGCATCAATATGTAATTTTCTTTTTTTGGGGACGTTGTAGGCAGCATTATTTTGAATCTGATCTTCTCTCTTGGCTGTACCAAAGTGGATAGCCTATGCTTGCGGTCGTTACTATTCATAGTATGAAAGGCCTACTATTAGCTCAATTTTAAAACTTTTGCATCACTCGCATGCTTCTGGACTCTTCCTGTATGTACTTCGTACATTTTGATGTTTTGCCATGTCTACCTAGTTCTGCCATATCTCCACTTGTCAGACGTCAAATACTACGATGTAGTAATAGTGAAAGTGATTTTATAATTAACACAATGCAAAATAACTCAACATCCTCATAAGTATGCGTAAAATAAACAAAAATCAAGCCTGTCAAGTCCTACTCCGTGGCCCCACGTCATAGGGCTGAGAGAAGAGTAAGTCAGATGACTCGAATTAAAGAGGATATCAATGTCATCAGACGTGTACAAGGTCTCTTCGCTTCAAACCGGATCTCCCCTGTCTACGGCAGCTCGGCAGCCTACAATATATACAGTGGATGTCTAGAAAACACCACGCACCTGTCAGACAGCAACAATGATCGCCCTGAGTGGAGACCCAACCCAATTCTGCACCAAATCAGAGCTATCGTCAATAGTCCATAGGATCGGCAGTCAACTCACCACTCAAAGAGCAAGCCACTGAAGTATGTATATCACAATCCAGTGCAGATTCCAGATTCCAGGCCAGCACATCGTGGCATTTTAGTTTTTAGCATGGGGAAGCAGTTTGGGGAAGATAGGGATGACGATATGGAGGCAACAGAATACTTCCAGGGCTATGCAGTACCTGTACACCCATATTCCTCACAGTCTATAGGCCCACTCCTTGCTCCGATCGGGTGTTGAGGAGCATTCAGCCACAGTCCACATCAGCGGTCAGTCCGCCACGAAAGCTCGATATTTTACCCACCCAGGCCGGGAAAACGGTTGGGCAGGACACACTTGGACCAATAGTGACCTCCGCTTGTTGGAAAGAATTGTACACGGAACTGATATGACGACATTAGGAGGCTTAGATTGACTCTATTGATCGCGTTTAATGCAAGTTGTGCTTTGTTTTGGGTTCTTCCAAGGTTAATTGATTGATATTTATTTTTCTGGTTTATTGGGCTTTCATATTCGTCCCTTGCTTTAAAAGCACTCTGTTGCTCCCTCTTATGGTTTGTTCGTCTGTGCGACCTGATACGTTATATAGCTTCTCGTGTGCCCCAGTCCATACTTCTTATCCCACGTTACATCTTCTCACACAAGCTGGACAACATTATCTCCGTATACAAGAACGTCCTTCATATTTATTCAACAAACAACTTATTGATTTGACAACACCTCAACAATGCCCGTCATTTCACGTCTCGTGTCTATCATCCTCCGCGTTGCGGAGATCGCCTTTGCAGCTGTGAATAACCCATATCTACACCAACTGTGAAATCGCATCTAACTCTCTTTCAGGTCGTTGCAGGTGTTATTGGACACTACCTTGCCGAGGTTAACCACAGTGGTGTAGATGTTGACTGGTGGCCCCAGTCGCGATGGATCTATACTGAAGTAATTGCCGGCTTATCGATATTGCTGGGCCTCATATGGCTGATCCCGTTCTCTTCGGGATTCTTCTCCTGGCCTAGTACGTGCTGGATATCCTACCCCGTGGATATAGACCAAATGCTTACTGGAATCTAGTGGACATTCTCATTTCGTTTGCTTGGTTCGCTGCTTTCGGTGTCCTTGTCGACACCATCCGCCACTGCCCTGCGGCAGCATCTGGTCTTGGCACTTTAGAGGGGACCAGACATGTAGCCGATGGAAGGCAGCCGAGGCTTTCAGCTTCCTTTCTGCTATTATCTGGCTTATTTCTGCTATCGTCGTATGTGATGAGATTTCCCGGTCCACATGGAAAAGTACTAATAGGCCCCCAGGGGATCTGGTTCACCTTCCGCGTTCGCCAAACCCCCACCGATGGAGTGTAAGTGATCAATGCGCGCCCTCGAATAACACGATATTTCTTGATTGATACTGACATACCGAACAGTAGTCGCCGCCGCTGGGGTCGTTCCGCTGTCTAGACAAAGACGACAAATCACCAAGCCTCTGCATAGCAGACATTAACACTACTACTGCACCCATACGCATCGCGTCTCGCGCTAAGCACAGTTTTGGCGACATAAATTCTTTCATCATGCTCTTGCGCTTCTGATTTGAAGGCCAACGAATTATGACTTGCGTTGATACCCTCGGTGGAGTAATATCTTTAGTGCTTTGTTTGCGATTTGACTATTTATTTTGCTGCGAAGTCAGCCCTTTTGAAATTTATTCCATATACATATAGCTCATTTGGGCATCGTTGTCTATGGCTAAGCAAGCTTGTGCCGTTGTTATTACCTAGCTATGGATATCGCTTCAACGGTTCTCAAATACTTTGTTATACCCACCCTTGCCTAGTTTCCAATCCCCTAGCCAGAGTAACAAAGAACTGTTAACAAGGCCTTTATTTTGATCTTCTCCATTTTCGTCTTTGTTGTCTTTCTTCTCTTTTATTCGTTTTTTTTTTCCTTTCGCGTATAATAATAGCATTACTGTCGTCGAAAGTGCGGCGTAGAAACCATATAAATAGGCCTCCAGCCTGAACAGTTCTTGACAATCCATCCTTGCTAACCTCCAAGTTATAGATTCACCCTCCCTGATCATCGTTACCACAACACATCATAATAAAATTGTGGTATCAGTAAGAAGCTATGTCTGCTCTACTAGATAACACTTCAGCCCAGCTCTTTGAGACTACACGCACTTTGTTTCAAGTCGACTGCCAGCAGTTCATTGAGGACATCTTGCACAATAGATTTTCGCTTGACGATGAGCTCAAGGATAGGGTGGGTGAGCTTCATCTGTCATTGGAGCAGCTGAAACGAGCCGGATGGATGATGGCTATTGATTCCCCGACAAATGAGCTTGTGCGTGTTGTCCCTATTGGATTCTTCTCCGTTCTGATCGACCGCCCCGGACAGGAACCAATGTCCGAGTTTGACTGGGCCTGTATTTACACCTCTGACACTTTGAATATGCTGACTGCTGACTTTATGCGACACAGGGACCCCGCTGAGCTTGCCCGGAACGTCGAGACCCAATCATTCCTCTGGGACTTGGGTATGCCTTTCCCTGTGACGATTTCTCACGCTGAGGATACCGCCCCAGAGCCATATGTGAATGCTTTCCGGATCCCTGCTGCTGCTAGTATGGCTCGTATGAACTCCCGGATTCCAGTGAGGCCTCGCCCTCCCCCTCCTGTCGACACTGATGTGGCCTATAACCGGCCTGTTCCTGGTCCTTATATTGTGTCCGAGCCTGCGTCCCCTACAGGTGATAACACTATGGGTCTTCACTGAAGCCCCAGTATGCATCCCCGGTAAATTCATGTTCCACGTTAGCAATTTCCCTTTTCCAGAAAAGAAGCAAAAACAACCCAAAAGACTCATATGTTGAATTCCAGTAGTCTCAGTACTTTTATTATGAAAACAATCATTCGTTCTATCCTCACAATATACCTCCATATAATTTATCTTCCTTGAAAATATAGAAATCTTTGGTCTTTTTTTAACTATTAGTAGCATTTAATCCCTGTAAGAATAAGAAGAGCCTAGGTCTGGAGTTTCACTCCTTAACATTTCACTATGGGAGCGTTACCTCCACTTGCGACTGTTCTTTAGTAGTGACAGCCCTGTGTCTACCTACCTACCAGGAAATGCCGTCGAAAATCTGCGTGCAAATGCCGAGAGAACGCCAGTACATTTATCAGACCGCGCCTAAGAAGTTTCACAAGTTTCTTGTGCCCAACTTTCCTCTAGGTAATCCCGCTCCTTCTTCGCATTTGAAATTCGAGTCCACATTCTGATAACGTCCCATTAAACGTATCTTTGACCCCAACTACTTGGAAAGCCTTGATCACAGCAATGTCGGGTCGGCCCCAGTGGAAATTGACCACATTGGCGATACAGGTACCACTGGGACTGATGGTGTGAGAACTAAATTTGACGCGATTGTCCTTGCGACAGGCTTTAATGTCTAACAATGTGTGGTGTCACCTGACCCTATGTGACAGGACTGTAGTCTCCTCTCCCTCTTCTTCTTTTCCCCTTCTCCCTTAGTTAGCAGCAGTTACCAATACAATTGCTCTCTCTCTTTTTCTCCTGACTTCCTATCAGTTGTACCTATGCAAGTGTATGGCAAGGATGGCCAAAGCCTTTGTCCAGGGATATATGGGCGTCTATGTGCACAACTTCCCAGACTTTGGTCTACTGTATGTATTAGCCAGCTGGTGAGTTCCAAAACAATACTTTGCACTGCTTTGGTCCGAATACCTTTCCGGCACATTACTCCGTACTATTCGCTTCCGAAGTGCAAATCGACTGTCTTGCTCGAACATTTCCTGCGTCTATCGTAGACCACCGGTGCCCAATCACTTTATCAAAAGCAAGCCGATGCCATCCTGTGAGGTAACATCCATTAGTTATAGAAGTGCAACATTGACTTCCTAGAGAAGTATGAGCTTTGGTACAAAGCTTACTAGTGAAAGATAAAACGGGAGTTATAGTCCTTTCCAGCTGGGCAACGCCCGTTTCTGGTTCGTGAACAACTAATAACTAGTGAGCTAGCAGTGAAGAATGAGTTTAATTAAAGATAACGTTGGGATCAAAGTGGAACAGTTAAAAATACAAAATGACCACATCTGCGCAAGGATTCAAGTGTCAACGTCAAGAGCATCCCGGATCCCGCTTGTAAACTCCCCAATTGGTGCCAACTGGAGGGGACTGATTATAGGCGTCACAGAAGCGGCTGATTGGCGTTTGGAGTCAGGCCCTTGGTTTAAGGGCAGACTAGGTCGAAGGCGGGAGTTGTATGCCTGTTGTGCATGTAGGATGATGGATCCAAACATGCTGGCAACAGCTTGCCAGCCGTCTGTTAGGACCCCCAAACAGCCCAATTTGTCTGCTTCCATGATCTTCTGCTGGCTTGGACCATCGCCATATAGGCGAGGATTTGGCCCTGATCTGGGAAACACCCGCGTCTCTTGGCCTCAATGATAACCATATGACAGGCCATGTGATCCTTCTCTCCAAAAAGAGACTGTAGTCTGCCGTCCCAACGCATTTATGTGGGACATCTTGGTGGATAACAGGTCCCCACCACGTGCGGTTTGCCGACCACCTCACTTTGGTCTAGTTCCACTTCCTGGGCACAGTAAGCTTGTTGAAGTGACGCGGGCTGCGTAATGGAAGGTGGAACATTGGGGAACTGACCTCTGGATAGCGGGGCGGGTTAAAGGTCGCGAGGAGTTTGGCGGAGCGAGTTGCCACTTTTCCAAACATGATTCGCTTTTTGCGTGATGTTATGAGTATCACGATGCGGACTTCACCACGAACCATCTCTTCGCGTCCTGGCGGAGGCGAGGCAACGACTCTGAGACTCCGGTTTCGACCACTAGAGTTGGACAGCCGACATTTCTAATTCCGTTATTGTAGCGAGAAGGTGAAACAAATTAATGGAGAAAGAGAGAGAGAAGAAAGGTTGATTGTTTATGATCTGTAGAGGGAGCTACTCATCTGGCAACCATGTCTGGTCTCCCTCTTTGCTCTTTCCCACGGCGGGCTTATAGGTCTTTGACCCGACCCACAGCAATTCTTCAAAGGGGATATTCATGGCGTAAATCCTTGAATCGGAGAATTCCCCAGAGCTTCCGAGCATGGTATGACCGATTACTCCAGATGGTCTATCATTCCGAGTCAGAAGTCCCCACCCCCATTGTTACGCATATCGAACAGCTGTTCTCCTCTGGTCTCCCACATCTGAACCCCTCCGATATGACCTTACCTCAAACAGAGAAGATTTTCAATATAAAGGAGGCTCGTGGCCTTCAGAGTTGGCGGTTTCCTTCAATACATATTGTTCTTCCGGCTGGATTTGGTAATTGCCATCACTCATTCACTTCAGATTCACTTCAGATTCACTTCAGATTCAAATTAAAATTAAATTCACTTTAGAAGGATTGATATTAACCTTATAATCTAGGTATTCAGACATCTTTAAGCATCTACAACATCAGTGGATCTAAATTAGTGCTGGCAGTATGAACCAATGAGATAGTTATGTGCCGGTGGCGTACTTACTTAGTCGCCCGTATATACAGATCAAGGACTGCTCCAGAGCCCTGCCCGCATTCGAGTGGCTTTGGCTCTAGAGAGTCCTTTGACGCGGGGGCCTGTCGTCCACCAAAACGTCCCACATACGTGCATTGGGACGGCAGATTACAGTCTCTTTTTTTGGAGAGAAGGATCATATGGCCTGTCATATGGTTATTATCGAAGCTAAGAGCCGCGGGTGTTTCCCAGATCAAGACTAATCCTCGCCTGTATGGTGATGGTCTAAGCTAGCAGAAGATCATGGAGGCAAACAAATTGGGCTGTTTGGGGGGACCTAACAATTCAAAATTTCACTCATTCAATATTAGGTACTAGACCGAGCTGAAAAGGCTGTCATCATGGCAGTAGATAATTACACTTTGACCTGTTCCTAATCTGCCTAGCTCTATGCTCTACAACATAGATAATGCACATAATGCGGCTGATCTAAATCGTAAGGGAATATGTAACGACGTGGTCCGAAGGAGCCATTGTGCTACGTTAGTGTAAGTATGATGTGGATGGGGCTGTTAGCCAATCCCACTATAGCGGCTCATTGGTGATGGTCAAATTTGAAAGCGAAGTAGGCCGTCCAAGCCCATATCCTTGTTATTCCTTAATACAGGCCAATCCATCGTTATTATTTAATCTTTTAGATGTATCCCTTTTTTATAAGCTTAGGACGCAGCCTCTTAAGTAGCAAAAAGTTCAGCTTTTGAGCTATTCTACCTAGGATATAGGTCGTTATGATTGCTTCCATTACTACCCATTGCGCGCAGAATTGATATTTCCGATTCACAATTGGAATCTGCAAAAGAATTCGGTATAGCAGGACCTCGCTACTACATCAATAGTATCATTAATATTTATATATTTTGTTAATACCTTTGGAGAACTCGTCCATGCTGGGTTTGATATCCCCAGACCCCGGCAGCAATCCGGATGACTAAAAGCCAAGAAATTCCAGGGATCAACGACCTCAGGTCCAGGGATTGAGAACAAGGAATTCCCTCACTTCCTTCCTCCTAAGAACCCCAGAGCTCAGGTAAACAACCTTGTATATAAAAATGCAGTCGCGACCGGAGTCTTCCGGGGCAAGTGCGCCATCACCCTCACCGGATAAGTCGTCAACCTCTGAGTATCCCTTGCAGGAGATCGGGTCGCAGTACAAGGACGAAGCCCGCGACAGCGATGAGTTAAGTTTGGACTTGGAAATAGGCGACATGCCTCTTCTTCCCTCGGAAGGCCACGACGTGGAGGCTCAATCGGAGAAATTCGATCCACCGTTTTCTTGTACGCCCTCGGGATTCTGTGCATGGCTCCGCGGTCCGACGCCGGCGCATGTCTACCACATTAATCCTTGGTTCCCACATTTACAGGCTGCGCCGGCGCGTCTGATTGATCACAAATTTCCGCGCAGAAGTTCAAAGATCGCGCTCCTTTTTGGTGGTCTAATCTTTTGGATTGTCGTGTTCTTCGCATCCTTGAAAGCGTCTGTCGCGGGCCAAGAGGTTCCGGGGTTTGGGCAGCCCGTCAAGCTGTCGTGTCATCACCGTTTATGGTGTGTTTCTATTTTTATCCTAAGTAGATCATCTAACATTGTGAACCTAACCATATCTTTTTAGGAGCAATGCCACGAATTGCGGACTGAATGGTGATCTTTGTCGCCCATTCGAGGATCAATCCTTCGCATTCCGTTGCCCATCTGGCTGTGCCGCGGCGATTCTCCTCGAGCCTTATGTTGTTGGCGATCAGGAACTCAATTACCGACCGTTAGTTGTGGGAGGTAAGCCATCCAAGGTGGATGATAATCACAGCGGCATTTACCGTGGCGATTCATCAATTTGCGCGTCGGCACTGCATGCAGGTCTAATTGATGACGCGAGGGGCGGGTGTGGCATCCTGCACCGCACCGGCGAGCAGAAAAACTTCCCTTCTATCATGCAGCACGGAATTGAAAGTATCGAGTTTCTCTCGAGCTTCCCGATGTCATTCCGACTAGGTAATGAAGCGTCATCCCCAGACTCGAACAAGACAAAACCAATCAAGTGCTCTGATGCGCGCTGGTCGCTCTTCGCCTTCACATTGATCTGGACCACCATCTTGTCATTAGTCGTGACGTCGGCACCGGCATTCTATTCCATGGTATATTTCATTGTCTGGTTCCAAGTCGCCATGGCGTCCGACCCACCCTCTATGGGGAGCTATTATGATCTTGTGTCAATCGCGCTCGGTCGATTCCTGCCTGGTGCATTTGTGGGATACGTGCTGTATTACTTTTGCGTCCGGCACACGCTTAAAAATTTGGATGCACACTGGGACAAGACTGTCCTGTGGCTGGGCGGCTGCTGGGTTGGCGCCCTGAACACAGACACATTCGATCGCATTCCAATCTCTCGCCTCACGCCCCACGATATCCAGCAGCAACCGGGTGCTCTCACGGCTCTCATCATTGTAGTTGGGACTTTGATCGCAATTGCCTTTGGTCAAGCACATTGTTTCCGTCGCGAGGGCCGCTTCTTCCCTACGCTAAGCATATACGGCGTCCTTGTTGCAGCTGTTCTCCTTCTTGTCGCCGTTCCGCACATGAACCTACGCATCCATCATGATATTCTCTCTCTTCTCTTCCTACCGGGAACAACTATGCAAACTCGACCCAGTCTCCTATACTCAGGTATCCTTATTGGTCTTTATATAAACGGCATCGCCCGCTGGGGCTTCGGTTCGATCCTCGAAACTCCAGGCGCTCTCCTTGATGGTGCCAAACTTGGTACCGTTCCACCAAAGATATATCCTCCTTCCTTAACGGATGTGAACAACCTCGTTTTCTCGTTCCCGGACCTTGAGCCCCATGCCGACGGCCTCAGTGTCTTAGTCAATGACGTCGAGCGCTTTCAAGTCTTCCGACCTAAGGATGGCCAACCTTTGCCGGATTTCACCTGGTCTCGTACCTATCCCAACGAGTTAGAGTATTTCCGTTTTGGACTCGCTCATACCAATCCTTTGGGTGGTCTTTGGTATGAAGACTTTTCTCCACCTGCCGTTTGGGAAGCTGATGGTAATTTTGTTTTCCCTGATCCTGAGATCTCCGAGGATCCTGAATCCGAATCCGAATAGACAACTGTGGTATATGCCATCTGTACATACTCTCATTCTTCTGTTTCAATTAGAGATGGATATTTTTGATAGATTTGCGACGCATGGGCGTTAGGCTCTAGTGTGTTTGGTACTAGTGATCTCTCCTCCGGGGGTTAGTCCCCCATACAGCAAATTGTAAAGTTCTTTCCTGCTGGCAACGGTGTGGGATGAGTATACTATAGGCGCATGTCATACTGAATTTACACATCACTCAGACGTTGCGCGTGAAATTCTATGAGTTGCTGGATCCCCTCCGGGCGATGACTTTTTTTTTGTCATCGGGGTTCTTTTTAATAATCGTCATGCGACTAACTAAGCAAGCGTAAACCCGGGATTCATCGTAACTATTTCACAGGCTACACGTACTCCACGACGCCAAGCGTTCCGCGCATTTCACACGCGCCATCCTATAGCATAAAATTCATTGTCACCTCCTACATGAATACATATACCTACGAAGCTAGAATAAAAGCAAAAATGAAGAAATATCATCCCTTGAAGTAGCCATGACACGATACCTGTACAATACTTTGCTTTCCACCGTCCTCTATGACCAAAGCCGTGAGCTTTCCTCCCGTCACACAACCTGAGTCAAGACCCTTTGTGAATGTGCGGATAGAAAGAGAGGTAGAAGCATCGTGGCCATAGACAACAGTCATGGCGTTTGCAAGGGGATCATCGGTTGAAGTCTCGAGGCTCAAGTATAGTTTCGCTTGGTGTTTATCGAACATCTAAATTGAAAGTATATCAGTACAACGACAAGATTAGAGGGGTAGATGGGAAAGCTCAGCCATACTTTAGCCCAATTCGAGCCTTTCTTTTTCGGGCTGGGTTCATTTGTATCAGAATCAATGGTCCGCATAGTCATCACGCTGGACGGGTCTTGCTTCTCAAGCTCAATGCCCGGTACTAGTCCCGCATGAACGACAACCACCTGGCCCATGCCTGGAATTTGGCCCACATTCAGGATCATTGGACAGTTCTCCAGCCACTGAGCTTGCTCTTCGCTCAAAGACCGTGCGAGTGCACGCTCGGCTAGTTCTCTAGACGAGAAACCAGAGTACCTACCCTCATCGGGGGTTGTGAGAGTTTTGGTCTTCACCATCTCTTGTCGGAGAAGCAGAATCCGGTCCTCGTGGTTCCCGCGGACACTGGATGCCGAATGCTCCCGAGCTAAGTCCACGACCCCTTTGCTGTCTGGTCCTTTGTTGATCATGTCACCGACAAATACAAGGTGATCGCCACCTTTTGGGTTGAAGGAGACTTTTTCAAGAAGTTGCACCACTTTCGTAGGCTTGTCAATTCCAGGGATTCTTGTAGTTTAGGGATTATTTCTTACACTCATCTTTGCAGCCGTGCACATCTCCCACAAATATTAGCCGTTTCCGACTCGTTTGCCCCAAATCCCCTTTTGGCATATCCCCAGGCACCAGGTCTGGGTCCAGTGTACGAACGTGAACCAAGCCGTCGAGGTGAGGGGACGAATGCAAGTGCGAGTTTTGGTCTTGTAGTTGGGGAGAAAGTAGCATTCGCCAACCGACCCAGGCGAATATAAACAACGCGCCGTAGATCAGAATGTGCCGGAAGCGCGGCACGAAAGCTACCGAGAGAGTCATTTTGGCCCATCCCGGGGATTTCATGTCATCCGCGGGGGAGCTTAAGGCGTGTTCGGAACCTCCAGGGGCTCTAGACTGCCATGGATTTGTGGCGGAATCAAGCAGAGGGTGAGAATATTGTGGGAATTGATTTAAATAGGAGGGATGGTGAGTTGTGGTCGGGTGGGAGTCGTTATCTGGGGACTCGGAGTCTTGCGGATGGGAGTCGCGAGACGCCATTCCACTACACCCGAGCTGGGCTTTATATCCTTGAATCAGTTTGTACTGTATGGTTCATATGTGCTGCATTTATCTGCTGAAAGTGAGCGGCCGCAGGTAAATGTGAAGATTTAAGCGTAGATTTAAGCGTAGATTTAGGCGTAGATTTAGGCAGAACTTAACCTCGCGCTCCGGCGTACCTATACCATAATACCCGCTTTCTTCTGTTAGCGAGCTAGTGATGTTTGATTTATATATGTTCCTTATGTTCCAAACTGGATTTTGTTCTGTTGATTTATTTGTACATTTTAATACTATCCTCGGTACTGATCATACTCCTCTGCTTCCCGCCTGCGCAGGTTTACACGCTGGAGCACAGCCTCGCCATATACCTCTTCCACCTTCTTGCCACCCTTGAGCACCTCTTTCTCGTGGTGGAGTGCTTCCTCCTTGGTCATGCAAACCATGTCATTGATATCCATCGGGATAGTCTTTTGTCCCTCTTTCTCAAGGCTTAGATCCATGTTCCATCCGTGGGCAGGAGTTTGCCAAGGAACGAGAGCCAGTCTGTTAGACAAGCCACTGATTGAACTCTTCCCCCGGTATACTTCTTCCACAGCGAATGCAATATCATCCTTGCTGAGTGGCACGCGAAGCCCCACAGTATCTTGACCGGTGACTTGCTTAATCATTCTTTCATGCAAGTTTAGCAAAGCACCCAAGATGGTATCGTAGAGTTTCTCGCGGCTCTTGGCGCCCATATTGTAGTCAAGCGGGTAGCCAGTAATAGTGCAGATAACGTGGTTGGCTACTGTATAACCAAACACCGCAGGCATAGTGCCGAGTACTGGGAGGATGCGGGCTCGGAAGTCGGGAAGAACTCCAAGCTCACCAACTTGACCCTTGGTGAATTCATCCTCGGGGAGAGGAAGTAGGGTAGCCTTGCCCGGGCCTGGTTTCTCCGTCGAAAATACGGCTGCGACGCCAGACGAAACGCCAAGAAGCTTAAGTCTGCGGCGTGTACTGCGGGACAAAGGATCATCGGTGCTGAGCGAGATGTCCCCGACCACGACGCGAGTCGGGTCCGACTTGCATCCTGCGCCCATCGACGAAATCACAGGCAAGGAGTTTGAGTGGCAGTAGTGTAGCAACTCTACCTTGGACGTAATGTTGTCGATACAATCAAGCACGAAATCCGGTCGACGGCCCTGTCCGTCTTGTGTCAGAGACCATGGGCCGAGGAGATCCTCAGACGCGGCCTTTCCGTAGAGCTCGTTCCGACAATCGAAGGCGACCCAAGGTGCGATTTGTTCCAATCGCCTCCGGATGCAATGGACCTTCGGTGTGCCGACATCGGCCAATGTTGCAAGAGCGTGTCTGTTCAGTGATGAGAGTGTGACTTGATCGAAATCGATGAGTCGGATTTTGGACACGCCCGATCGAGCTAGTGAGGCAGCGGCATGCGAGCCCACACCACCACAGCCGACAACAACAACGAATGATGATCGAAGCTGGGCAAGGCCTTCGTCGCCGAGGAACACACGGTTTCGGGCAAGCTGTTCAAGAATCAAATCTACCAAAGCGAGACAGGCTGAGTGAGATAGGTTCCAGAAGCAATTCATAGAAAGGTCACATACCATCATCGTATTCTCCTTTTTGCGCTCTACGAGCCAAAGCTGCACTTCGTTCATCTTCCTTGCTCATCTGTACTCCATTCGAGGCAGCGCCAAAATCGGTGAGCTATAGTCCGCGGAATCAGTTCTCTTTTCTTTGTCCTTGTAGCTTGGCAGGCTGGATGCGCATATTCACTGGCGTAGCTCACCATTTCTGCGGGATTCAAATCATCTAGACTTGGAATCGAAGCCTTCAGATCATGCACAGCTTCCTTGCGCTTGTATGACTGGTACCCGAAGATGGCACCTGCGACAGCTGCGCCGGATACGACAGCCGCTGTCGCAAGCTGCCCGTGGGACGAACCAGCCTGGCGATGGAGCCAAGAAGACATGCTTGCAATCACACCGTTATGTTTCGTGTCCTGAGTATCCCTCGGTTTGCTGTTATTTTCGTGGGAGGTGCTTCGATCAGGCTCGTTATATCTGGTATCCAGTTCGTCAGAATCGAATCCGTAGTCGAGGTCGGCTTCGTTGGGCTCTTGCCACCATTTGGATGTTGAGTGAGCCATTATAAATGTGGGATGTACTGACCATGACAAGTAGCCGACCGCTGCAGGCATGAACTCTTAATAACGGAATGTATATGCAAGCCAATGCGTTCATCAGTGGAACCATGCTGGCTATCACGTGCCACGGTCCTGGGTAATTGTGCGGGGACTAAGTAAGGCGGTAGGATAGGCGGTAGATGTGCTCACGACGCGCCGCGACACGGTCCCCACTATCTTCACAATACCCCCCAAACCTGCAATTCGGACTCATCCGCCAATTATCCCCTGATGGTGTCAAATACGCTCTTGGATCATCTCATCCGATAGGAAGTTGTTGTTGACACACCGATGCAGCTATCATTCTCGATATCCCACTGCGGAGCGCGTCTAGGTGCAGCCTGATGTTGAATCCGATAATACCTTGCCAGTCAATGCCAGCAACTACCTCTTATCGTTTGAGACGATGCAAGATCGACATGATCGCGAACCTGGACCTAACTTCTCCGCTATTTATTACGAGAGGTATGTATGTTTTTTCCAACCTAGTTCTCTGGTATCTGGCTACAATGCAGATTCAATGGAATATCATGTGCCAAGTCTTGATGACGATAAACCTCACAAGAGCTTCTCATGACATGTCGGTTGAATAAACCCGTCGGGTCATGGACTTCATCCCCTGATACGTCGGAGTGGAAGAAGACATCGGCACCACAGTGTGTGATTGAGCAATGAACAGAGATCTGAAGAGACTCGGACCTTTGATATTTCTTGCTGTGTGTTGTTTTGGCATCGCGTCAATATTTCAATGCGTTCAACTTCGACTAACATCGCTCAGCCTTGCTGTACATATTCTAGATCTCCCAAATCTCACATCTCGTTCGGTTTTCTTCGCCTATCGCCCTGTTCCCTTCCCGGTACGATATTCTTCATGAGATGTTTCGGATCCTCCTCATGTAATAATAGCCCAGTGATGAGAAAATACAGTTACATACTCCGAGGCCCTGTATATGTGCTTCGTCTGTACGCCTTTCAAGGAAACGACAAGCACGCCGGTGACGAGTGACAAAACATGGTAGTTTTCAATCTGAGGGCATATTTTATTACCAGAGGGATCTTGGAGCCTTCTTCAAATCAATACATTGTTCTTGTTCTATTTAGTCAGGTTCCTGCTTTCTAATTATTCTTGGCCTTGGTGCGATATACCAAAAACGAATTGTCCCATTTCTTCAACTAACATCTCTTTGATCTTGTATAAACTTCATAGACATAAGCATGACTTGGTTTTTACACTTTGCGAAAGCTATAGAAGCTTGTTGCTGACCCGAAATCATCCTATAAACATCCTCCCTAGGCCTCACAAACCCAGCAAGAGTGTCCAGGTCACGGGTTTATGTTCGGCTCAACTAAGCCTGTTGACGAGTCGCATGATCGACAACAGGCTGTGAATCCATCATGAAGAATAAACTGGCTCAGCATGCTTTCTTCGCAAGGCATTGATACGAGTTATTGTGTATAGGTCTTTAGATTACCGGAGTAATTTCGCTGTAGCTGTGATAATGGTTTCCTCTGCATAAAGCCCCCTGCAGCCTGCTCCTTACGTGGCATAATCGTGGTTGACTGGAGACCTAAAAGAACGATTAGCGCCTAAGCACCCCCACAACAAAGAAATGTGTCTTTAGAGAGACTGCAGCTGCAAAGCCCAGGGGATTATGATTATAAGTGCTTAGTGCCTCAGGCAGAGAGCAGTATAGCACCGGAACGGAAGAACAATTAATTCCGTAGGCTTAAAAACAACATCTTATTCCTAATGAAGCATCCCTCAAGCTCAGCTTTCATTTTTAACCTTTGATAAAAGGGTCTGGCTGTATGCTTTATCCTAAATGACTCTAATGCTGAGCTTGTGGGAAAAACAACCACCAGCAATATTTGTTATTCCATGGGGCTGCTAACATGCGCCTATAGTACCTGTTAATCCGGAGAGCATACCTTCCATCAATTCAGATGACAGGCCGTGCATTGTTGAGCAAGGCCTCACCATTGAGAGCGTACTCGAATGGTACATAGACATCAGATGCAGTTGGTTGTTCCCTGTTGAGAGCCATTCACGATGTGACGCACTGGGGAGTGTCCACGTGTATATTCAAGGAAAATACCGTGCCGTCCTCAAAGATGTACACCTTGACCAACAATAACCATCCGACTATCAATGACATTCTAAAGTTTGCTGGTTTGTCTTGAAATAACTTTCACCAAAAACCTAGCTTCCAAGCTTTGCTCTCGGCGTTTATCTGGGCTATGTACTTCGCCAACTAAAATTTGGGAGTATCTTCGTTAATCATCCTGGCTTTTGCTCTCAGGCTTGATTTTACACTTATTCTTTTCTGTTGTCTTGCGGGCGTGTTTTTACTCCGGGGTCGTAGGCTTTTTGGGTTGTGTTATTCTGTTCTTTTCTCCTTCTCGCCCTATGATGAGTTCGTCCTAGAGACGAATATAAGCCAATTCTGCAGGCATCTGCTTGACGACGGCTCCATTTATGGCACTTCGTGTCTGTGGACCGTGTACACAGCTGGAAGCCAGTTATGAAACCTGAGAGCAACCTGAGGGCGAGTTTCCTTTTATTTTTGTGAATATCATCATGTACATATATAGTATGTTGATAGAATCAAATGGAATAATCTGCTGACATTTATGTTCCTTTTTCACATCATGGCTACATGAAGACCGGCTGGGGGTATATATATTGATCCCTCAGAGCTGCAAACTAAAACAGAAAGAGGAATGTTATTTCGTAAATGTAAACGCTTGCTTAATGCCAAAATTCGCACGCTTAACGACGAATGTACACATTTTATATTATTGCTCATCGCCTCGGACGTAACACGCCATGCGACTAGCGCAGGAACTTGCCCAATGCGCCACCGATGTTCTTGAGATCTAACAAGAAAGTGTCATGACCGAACAGCGACAAGTCGTCACCAAGCTCGATATGTTCAACCTTCTTGTTGCCTCCAGCACGGAGTGTCTCGGCGATTTCCCGCTGCTGCCACGCTGGGAAGAGGATGTCACTTGCAACACCCATGACAAGCACAGGGTGGTCCTTGAGAGGCGCAAGGCCGGCAACAAGATCCCGGGGAGGACCTTCCACTTGATCGGCAGAGACGGACTCGTCCAGCGGGGTGGCATTGGAGGTTGATCCAGGCTGCTCCTCATAGGGCTTGTCTGGAAGGGTAAGACTGCAAGCGGGGTCCGAGGCATTTGGTGCGTCACCACCGTGTGCAATGCGATCCTCAGACTCTGCGCGGCGTTTAAGAGTCGCAGTCTGATGAGCATGGCCGAGATCGAACAAGTCCATGGCCTTGGAGACATAAAGAAGACTGTTGGGGTCGTACTCGAGGCAGAACTTCTCACCGGCATGGTCGAGGTATGTCTCGATGAGGAAGTCGGGACACAGAGCGGGCTGTTTGCTAGGGTCTGCACGCTGGCGACCAAATCGCATCTCCCACTCTGGCCCGCTACGGTACGTCACGGTTGCAATCTCGCGCGCTAGCTTCATACCAGAGTGGGGTGGGATTCCATCGTAGTAGAACCCACGGGCCCAGTTGGGGTCCATCATCAGCACTTGTCGCTGTGTGTGTCGCATCGCTATACTGTAAGGGTGGCTGCGGGCACAGCCGCTGATGCTCACAATCTTGTTGACCCGCTCTGGGAAGAGTACACCTGCCGCGAGACTCTGCATGCCGCCCATGCTGGATCCAACTGAGGCAGCCAGTTTCTTGATTCCTAGGCCGTCAAGGAGCCGGAACTGAGCACGTACCATGTCGTCCACAGTCAGAATCGGGAAGCGGGTTGCGTACCGCTTTCCGTCGGACGGATCGTGGGAAGACGGGCCTGTGCTGCCGTAGCATCCTCCGATGACATTGGTGCATATAATGTGATATTTATCGGTATCTAGTGGTAATCCGGGGCCAATGAACTTCTCCCACCACCCAGGCTTTGGGTTGGACGCTGTGCTATGGGCATGGCTTGAGGCGGACAAGCCGGTGTGCAGGAGGATGGCATTGCTCTTGTCGCCGTTCAATTGCCCCCAACTCTCATAGGCAACATCAAATTCAGTCAGCACACCACCCCAGTCAAGCAGAAGTGGTTGTTCACAGTGGTATGATTCGTGTCGGCCGGTAGTGTATGAAGGTTCGGGGCCGGACTGCAGCGACCGAGCAGAGAGCTGCGCTGACTTTGCTTCTTGGGCATCGAGACAAGGGAACGACATGGCTGGATTGGAGGAGTCTCTCTCAGTTGATCCCGCGGTGGCCGATGCTGACTTTCGCGGCGGCACGGTATGCAATGGGCGTGCGGTCTTCCATTGCGCTGACAAAGTCCGATGCGGTCCCGCGGACTTCGCGAGGGAGTTGCCTTGTCGCCATGGCTGAGTGCGAATTGTGCATGAAGCAGCTCGAGCCGCTCCTCGAAAAGATTGCATTATAAAGCCTGAGATCTGTGTGAGTCAAGAACGAGAGCTTCCCAGGTTGAGGGTTATCGGGGGGAGAAATATGTTGACACCTCAGGCGCTAAAAAGTCGCGTCATCACCGACATCGGTGATTGGCGGAGGTCTGAACGTTGAAGTATCAATGTACGCAGATATTATTTGCAACTTTTGTCAAACAAGTTGAGGACAAATTTGAATATATATATATATATATTAGAATAACAACAACAGAGGTTAATATGTACTCTCGTCTTTTGTGGTCCATGGTTGGTTTATACTGCTAAAGAGAACCCGTAAAAACCAAGTGAAATAAGTGTTCAAGGGCCTATAAAACAAGAAAAATGTAGGAAGCATGCGAAATTTGCCTCTTGATGGATCAAAAAAGACGCTCATAGCTGAGGTCCCAAAGCTGATTCTCGTACAAACGGTTATGCAACTATCAAATCGCGACTCCCAAAATAGGAATATCCAAAACGCCCAACGCTAGATGCAATAAAAGTCCGAAATATGAAAAGTAGGTTGTAGCAAACCTTTATT